ATTGTACGCATCATTGAATAATGCTTGAACCTCTTACCACAACGCAACTTGACGATATTCTTTTCAACACAAGCGTTACTAGCAAAAACTATATTGGTACTTACCCTTCTTGTTTCTCACCTACATCTACCAAACCATATTATGCTTTCATTTCAAACACTGAGGAGCATGATGAAAATGGAGAACATTGGTGTGCTTGGGCTGCAAAAGATGATACAATATGCTTCTTTGATTCATTTGGACGATCGCCAGACCACAAAACTCTACCTAAATATTATAAGGATATTGTAAAAAAGTTTAAGTTTGTTAGATACACAAACTATAGAGTTCAAGGCTGGAATAGCAAAGCATGTGGTTACTTTTGCATTCATTTTATCTATGTGTTAAGTTTAGGGTTAGATTATAAAGATTTTTTAAACGACTACTCACAAGATTTTGAAAAAAATGATTCTGTAGCTTTTAATTTTGTTTCTTCAATAATTTGAATAAATTTGTTTTATTTGTACAAATGAAAACAAGTTCATAAAGACATAAAATAAAACCAATAAAATTACAACTAATTGATATCAACTACATCGAGAAACTTTCCGTTTGGAGCAATCCATCCGACGACCCAGTATTTGTGTCCAATTTTCATATTTTTTAAGTTTCTGGTATGCAAAGTTATTTGGGAAAATAACCGGAGCAAAGGCTTTGTTATCTACTTCACTGAAAAGCTCTAGTTTGAACCCTGCACTGTTTGAATACTGCTTTAGCGTTTTAGAAACGATCTGCATTTGAGTATTCACTCTTTTCTTGTGTTCTTCCTCAGGTATCAATCGACATCCATCGCATCCAATCTCCATTCTTTGAGTATCAATACCCTCCAGTGAGTTAAAGCATATTGGACAATTGTCAACGTGAGATGAAACCATGTTAACGAGTATAGGATACCCATCCTTGTAGGAATATTCCACTTGTACTTCTTCTCCCACTTTGAAGGGAATCGCGGTACTGGATCTAGTACTTCCAGGTTTCTTTAACTGTACGGTATCCCAAACATTGAACTTAATCAATCTTGTCTTGAATGGTATATTCGTTGAGATCGTCAAGCGAGTGTATCCTTTTGTATTTGGATTAATTTCACAAATCAATCCATAGTTGTTGAAGAGTGCCATGTTTGAAACGTAACCAAAGTTCTGTATCAAGAAATGAGCTCTCTACATTCCAACTCGATTTATATAGGCGAGTCACTGGGCATTGAATTCATGAAGACCTTAAAACAATTGCGTAACATGTACTTGTTTTCATTTGCCATCTGAGTAACATCTGATAAGTTCAGCTCTTCTCGTATTGCTTGCAAAACTATATTTTCATGGATATTGATGATATCTTCATAACTCTTACTCTGAGCTGATATCAAAATATCAAACATAGGGAGTACTCTTTTTCGAATACGGTAAATGTCAAACATAGTTATAACTTTGGTTCTTTGATAGTATGAAAGCTCAGAGTGAAGCTCATTCAGAAATTCTGATGGTGAGTTGACAAAGAACTCTTGGAAATATTGTGTGCTGGTCTGCATCTTTAATCGGTCAAGGTTGGAACTCTAAGTACTTATATATCATGCCTCCCTTCAATCAAAATGAACTCTGGATACTCTGAAAAGTAGCACCCATCTCCAAACCTCCGTTCATGTTTAACAGGGTGATTTTGATCGAGATTGTTCCTGATGATACTGGGGACATTGGTTAAAAGCTGTGGCATGGTAAGCAAATATTTCTTTGGGGTGTCGTGTGGTTATGAATTAGTCTGTTCTTTGAAGAAATATAATTTACCTCGATAAATAAGTTTTGAATTAGCCCGATCACATTCACTCTCTTTAGTTTCGAGTATTTATCATAAGAGAATATGACACTCAACCTAGACCTATAACCGATACTACCAGGAAAGTTTACGAGATGCAACTCTTAAACCTTAGTAGCAAAGTCCGATCTTCTAGATCGGTGAGTAAAATCCAAGTTGAAAACTGAGCCGAGTCATGATTGCATCTGTATGGGTACAAAGGATGACATATCAAAACCTGTTGATCGAACAAAGGAGTTATATAGTTTTGATGAGTTGCACTTGAAATATCTTATCGATCAAATTGGAGAGATTAAAATTGTTGTTGATTCTGTTGACCTAAGACTCTAAGAGACATTGGAAACTCAGAAATTCTGATGGTGAGTTGACATAGAACTCTTGGAAATATTGTGAGCTGGTCTGCATCTTCAATCAGTCAAGGTTGGAACTCTAAGTTCTTATATATCATGCCTCCCTTCAATCAAAAACTTTCTATTCATCCATCTGTATTGGCCCAACACCTCGATCGTTTCTGCAACAGCATTAGAACATTGTGGTGCATGTAGGTGTTGGCTTTTAGTGTTATGATTGTACTTTGTAACACAGTATGGGTAGATGGGTTCATTTCCAAATATTTCCGTTTGCTTAAATCGGACAGACTTCTTAGTTTTTTTAGTTGATGTCTTTTTCAGTATTGATGTTCCTGGATACCATGTCTGTGGAAGTTCTATATCAAGCAAAAAGTATTCACTCCTATTATCAGCACATTTATGAAGGGTGGGTGCTTCTTTTCCTTGCATGTGTAAGAACAATCGCTTTTCAAACTTTTTGCGACGACGTTCACAAATTGTTAGAACCTCATAACCATAACAGAGTTTTTGCTCTTTCAGCTTTGTGCGCAGATCTTCAATTGATAAATCACGGATCTCTTGCATATTAGCTCATATCATTCACCTCTATAATATGGTTGCTTGCTGTTAACCACCCTACTACAACATAATTTTTACCTACTTTTAAATTGGGTACTCGATTAAAAACAAGAGTGTTTTCAAAAATCCTTGCTCTTAAAATTCTATTCTCTTTAAGATAGAGTAACTCTAATCTGAAAGCTCTGGTAACCGAATAACTATGTACAGCAAGTAATCTCATGATCTCAATAACAAAACCTCTGTGATATTCATCTTCAATAAGAATATCTGACATTGTAAAACTAACAAAAAGAGAAATGAGATATATAATGATGTTGATCCTTTTAATAACAAATTTTTACAAGTGATGAAATTGCTCGAAATTTTTACAAGTGTCGAAAATCCGTGAAATTTTTACAAGTGTCGAAAATCCGTGAAATTTTTACAAGTGTTGAAATTGCTCGAAATTTTTACAAGTGTCGAAAATCCGTGAAATTTTTACAAGTGTCGAAAATCCATGAAATTTTTACAAGTGTCGGAAAATGTGTGCAATAGCAAAATGTGTGCTACAGGGGGTAAATATCTCTTACTTTGCGCATCTCGCAATTTAGAGGTTCGTCCAATATGAGGTCTTTGACGTTATCGTCCCACCAATCATCGAAACAATTGAGGTCTTCTTCAAATATGATCGTTGATTTCTGCTCTCTACTCAACAAGAATTCGTCTTGATATTTTTTGCTGAAATAGGGATACGCAGTAAACTGTAGAATTGTTAAGTGTCCACTGAATCGTTTGATCATGTCTGCAACCTTTTTCCTTTGTTTCAATGACTTCTGGAATGTACCAGCTAATGCCTGAAACTTCTGATCGTTCATATCTTTAGGGGCTGATTTATCACTAATATGGCACATATTCTTAACTTCAATTATGACAAAGTAATTAGCACCTATGACTAAGAAATCACACTCGCCTTCTTTATTGGCTGCCTTCTTTTTACAAATATCACATTTCCGCCTGACATGGCTTGCATCACCAAGATGATATTGGAAATGAGTATATTCAAGACTGTGAAGAACTATCATAACCTCTTCCAGGTCACAATGAACAGGAACACTACAAATTGTACAGAATCATTACAACATTGCGACTATTAAACAATGTTCCATCCGGATATAGATCACTAAAGTCCGCTTACTCACGTTTTTCAAAACCAGGGCCATAAGCTATTAATGCGACAATGTAACAACGTTACACAAAGATGAGAGCTCGCTAATCACAACTAAAGCTACACTGACTACATAAACCTAGTACACATAAGAAATAAATTCTAGTTTAGAAGCCATTTAAAGTGTAACATAAAGCGTGAATCCCCTCTAGTACTAACTTCGCAGGTAGTTGCTAGATTTTTAAGGACAATATGTTGCACATTTTATATTTTAAGAGCTTCATTAATGTATATATTATTATATTCATAAATACAATTTCGTTCCCTGTACTGTGGTATATTTTTATATTTTAACTATTATATTATATGTATTACAGTAATATACGACTGTGATACATGGCCATGGTTAAAATTTAAACAAGAATTTCGCCGCGGTATCACCACGCACTATTAAATTTCCCTACTGCCTACAAAGCACATTTTGTTCTACTTTATTGTATCCCAGAGTGGTGTTTGGCGCACGTGATAATCATTTATATTATATTACATATTAGGCGTGCAGAACTTGAAAAATTCTGCGTGCATCTGAGGTGTTGCCGTAGAAATTAACAGTATAAGTTAAAGCCAAAATCTAGATATAAGATTAACTAGCCGTACGTGTTGGTCCTGAATTGAAGTTGTACTTACTGTTGAAAGATTGTGCCGAACAAATTATACTTGTAAGTACCTTACAAGTTTCTGATTACATACATAAAATCCATAATGCTAGTAACTACACCGCAGTTATTGTAAGTGAAGACAAATAAAAAAGAGGCTTTGCAAAAGAAGGAGGTTTATGGGGATAGGGACCCATTAATGACACATTATGCAGACTTAGTTATCAATCCGCTACTTCAATAAATGTAATACAAAATGTATATCTGCAGTGTTTTATATTGCACTTCTGATTAGGTCGACATGGATCATAATATAACAATTATATAACGAGTACATAATATTGGTGATTCAGTCGCAATAGTAAATATTATATAATACTCCGATTCGATCCAATTATCAAAATGAGAAAAATGAAGATTAATCATTAAGATACTGTAAATTCATACCGAGAATAAAAACCCCAACGTCACTCTCGGAGCCCGAACTATCCAGCAGAATGAAGCCGAGCTTGATGAGGCCCTCAGTGACGTAGTCCCAGCCATTATTACTCTTCCGGAGCACCACCTCCAACAGCTGCTTTACCTCCTTGCTCTCGTCTACAACTCCTGATCAATACCAATCAGTAAGAGAGGGGGGGAGGGTGTACTGCTGGAATTGACGATCATCATATTTATTCTAGTGAAGAAGAAATTGTTTTTTTGACAACGTCTAAGAATTAAATTTAAGTGTTTCATCCATTACGAAAATCTGACAATAGCACCAGAATGTAAAAAAGGAAGTTAACAAGAAGCGACTCACCATGGATGAACTTAGAGGCAGCCCACAGTTTGCTTCCTCGTAAAGCTCTGCTGACTCCACCCTTCAGACAGGACAGAACTTGTTCTGAAAACCTGTCATGCTGTGTCAGACTCAGTCCCAAACATTTTGAATCATGGCGACAACAATAGATTATAATTAAGGTGTAGGGACAAAGTGAGCTCGTCTCAACTCAGTTTGCCAAACAAATAGTTGTAAACGTTTCTGTCCACGCCTTTGTCATAGACGAGACGTTACAAATACGTTACCATAGCTCAATAAATACATAATAGATTTGTAGTGTTTAGGGGTCGTTCAAATATTACGTAATCAGCTGAGGGGGGGGGGGGGGGGGGGGGCGGGGGTTCTGAATGATTACGCTTGTGTAATTTTGACACAATTTCTATACATAGCTATACACATCTGTAAAAATGATTACGGAGAGGGGGGAGGGGGGGATGTTCCAAAAATGTGTGAACGACCCCTAATAGAAAATAAATGTAACAGATTTGTAGTATTTAGTTCAACATCTGTTACCTGTCGTGCTGTGTGAGACTCAGTCCCAAGCCAAGGGTAAAAGGGGTCAGCTTCTTCGAACTCTTGATGTGCTGGTTGATCGCTTTCCCTAACTCCTGAAGAAGAGGTTACCAATTAGAATGAGACGTTTTGGTATCTAGCCTACTTTAGAGCGGTGGGAGTTTTCCACGTTGAGAACTCTTCTATGATTAAATGAAATACCCTATATTACACCCTCAAAGTTGGCGACGGAAAGCCTGTCCAAGGTAACCACCATACTCCATAGCTTGTCAGTTACACTGTACCCAGAGTTAAGCTGTAAATAAATGTAGTGACAACAATATTATGGTGATAAGAATAGGATTAACCAAACTAGATTAACACAAGATTAATTGATGAAGATCTCTTTGTAATAATTTGCTGCCATGTTCATCCTCACCAAATGCGAAATAAGCATGGTTTCCATAACATCCAACATTTTAAACCAGCATGATACCGATTGACACAACCCTAAGCTAAAAAACGCTATGATGATTGCTATATACTTAAGTTATTATATATTATTAATTTATAATATTCAGGATATTGCTCACAGACGTCATCTGCGATCAATTTTGAATTACAAATACCCTCACATCATTTCCAACAAGAATTTGTATAAACGCTGCAATAGCGAACCATTGTCAGCTAAAGTGGCTCGTAGTCGGTGGAGGATGCTCGGACATGTACTGAGCTGCGTGGGCCTACAGATGGTCCAGCCTATTCGTCGCTTGTTTTTGCTGTTAACACCTTACAGCTTCAAGGGCGGCGTGGAAGACCGCAGTCAAACCTTTTCTCACTGATTTTACAAGACCTTAGTGTTCGAAAATTATCGTTAAATAATTTGAACTATTTAACGTTAATCGTTAATTTCTTATAGCCGGCTAGAAATGGAGAATTATGCAAATTGCATAACTTTTGTTTTGAGAAAGATTAGGGGACAGAAATGTTTACTTTGTTTACTATCTGTTTCTTAGAGCTTTTGTTTATATATTCAGGATGTTCTAAACCTTTTTAGCTTACAAGATAAACAGTGTATCACTTGGAAGTTTCAACTACAGATACTAACTTTTGTTTTATTAAACAAAACAATGATCACAGCACTAGCGGACAGTAAGCTGGATAAGAGACACACTTATAACCAGCCCTAACTGTGCCACATATAATTATTTTTTTATAATTCGTTAAATTAGTTATTAAAAAATAACTTTTTCAGATAATATTATTCTCGTCCAGAAGATATTAATAGAAGAGTTCAATTTTCCACAAACCGTTAAAAGGTCCGCTAGAGCTAGGGAAGCAATGACCACTCAAAGAAGGCGAGGCTCTAATTTCAGAAGAACTAGAAACAATACATTCATACGTATTATAAGCTCTCACAATATACAATATACACTCATAATTTCAAAGCTTCCACGTATATATTATTGATATTAACTTTAGTATTATACATAGAATTAAATAAAAAATATTTATATTTGAACAGAAATAAGTGCGATATAGGACAGAGGTCAGAGATAAAACAGCTGAGAATTTTCGCGATCAACTGACTTTAGCCCAGCTCAGCATTAGAGAAAAACAAAATAAGGTTTTATAACGTAATCACAAAAAAGATATCACAAAAAAAGATATCACAAACAAATTGTGGAGTCATGGGGAAATATAACTGGATTGGAATTTTCTTTCATTAAACAAGACTTTATTGAGAGGGACTACAAAAATAAATGGCCTCTCCCAAAGAAGAAGAAAAACAAAATATTTCCCCATCTATCGTGCAGGCAGATAGAACATCTAAAAGTACTTAATTCAGATTCAGACTTTGAATAACAATGTTAATACACCCGATCTATAAAATCATACAAATTTATGCACTGTAATTTTATTTAAAACTGGATAAATGCTTAATCATCGAATCACAAAGTATCTTTCGTCGAACAGAGATTTTATGACCTTGTTGTAAAGTAGTATCGTTAGGTTCTCGATATATTAACTTTGTTCACAGCGACTCGCGTGATGGGCGAGATTCGCGAGAATTCGTCCAACACGCGACTTCAACGGGCACTGGACAGCCTGGTGAGCCTCAGAAACATGGAGAGGACTTTCTGAGGATTCCTTCTTTCTGTTTTGATATTTTATTGTATTTATTTATTGTGATTCACGAGTTTCATTTGTTTAACTTCAAAATTTGTTACTTGAATAATATTTTTTTAGATTTATGTTTTGATTTTGTATTCCCCTTTCACCTTCTAAACCTCCCTTTATCCGCTTGTCTAACCTTCTATCACTTTTCTAGTTACTAGCATGTCATCATCAAGGGACCTGATGAAGGCCGTTACTGCCATCAGCAGTGCGTATACCGACGACCTGAAAGAGTTAGAAGAACTCAAGAAACGCATCAGGCGGGCAGAAAGAAGAATAAGAGACCTAACAGTGGAATTGGAGTACTTGGCGGATCAACAGGCGGCAAGAATGGACACCCAGCCGGCGCCCCCGCCCTATTTCCACAGCCCCACCTCGCACAGCACAGAGCCATACAGCAGCCCTCATTAGCTCGGGAGGACGAGGTGTCTCGCACTGGCTGTTCTTATCATTCTTGTTTTTTTATTTGTTTAATACATTTCATATTTTATATTTAAAGTGTTTTACTTGTACTCATTCGTATGGAATGGAAATGAGGATCTAAAATAAATGTTTGAATGGAAGGAGGAAAGACGGAGAAATAGGTGAGTATTGTAAATTATGATATTGGATTTGGAATAGGGTTAGGCGTTTACTTTTAAGATTCTTTCAGCAGAGCCGTGCTAGGGAGTAGGGTTAAATTTAAATAGGTTGTGCAGCGTAAGGCTGTTGGCGAATTTTTAAAGGGTTTTAAATATTCGGAAAAAAATTTTGGGTAGAGATGTTGTAAAGTAGTATCGTTAGGTTCTCGATATATTAACTTTGTTTACAGCGGCATATGTAATATTAGGAGAGTTGCGTTTAATTTATTAGGAACACTTTTATTGTGAAATGTGGTAGTATAGGACCGTTACACATTTCCGGGTAGTGCGACATTTCGTGTAGGAGTTTAACTGTTTAACAGTTGGTTTAGAAATTAGAAGATTTTGGTTTGTATTTCATTTTACACTGGTTGACTGTATTTGGTTGACTGGCAAACCTGCTGTCAGACAATTTGCCTTATTGTAGTTGTCCGCTCTTTTGCACCTGACTTACAGCTAGGCCTGTGGTTGGTCCTCGCGACCTCAGGACGACTGTCAGTGGAGTGCTCATTGTCTAGACGGTGTCTAGACGCTGGTGCAGGCTGCTTGCGTTATGCCGACACGCGTTATGGCGTGACGTAAGTTTCGGGAGTATACCCGGAGAGCCGGAAGTGGAGAGCTCACTTCTTAGTTGCCCCTTAATCATTTTTAAGGGATTCTAATTGACGATAGCCAGTCTGACTGAGCACTATCTTTTGTGATTAGACACGTCGAGTGATCTATATTCACGTCAATTGTTTGGAGCGAACACTTGGAAGTTTTATCTGTTGAAGTTCACTTTGTATTGCTTTTCCATTTAATTAATTATCCTTTTTAAATATACTCGTTTCTTTTCTACCATTACGGTACGCCCTGCCGTTCGTGCTTCGTGACTAGAGCTTGACTAGCATACACTAAATACCAAGAGAACTCCGTTTTCTATAACCTTGGACAGTTACCACTACCAGGACCAATAGAGTTGGGAAATGGACAATGATTTGTGGTATATTATGTTATGTCTTTCACTACTAAATTTATTTATATAATCATCCCACACAGGTCAGGAAAGAGATTTAAAAAGTCTCCCCAAGTTGATAAAGGACCTTTAAGGTAAATTAGAAAATATGGTAACAGAAGCACGCCACAAAGAAGATTATCGGCTGCTTACATTCTCCCAAGGAGACGTCCTCCCCTGCAAAAACTCGAAGTATAATTATTGCCCAAAAACGCTCATCGATAGACTAGGTGAGAATTAAAACGAGATTTTATGATCTTGGACAGTTACCACTACCAGGACCAATAAAGTTGGGAAATGGACAATGATTTGTGGTATATAGGTATATTATGTTATGTCTTTCACTACTAAATTTACTTATATAATCATCCCACACAGGTATAAGCGGCAAATTTCTTATCGAAGCATTAAGACATAGTCGTGAGGATGCATACAGCTACACCCTCATATATGCTTGTACGGTCATGATTTAGACGCTTGCAGACGTGATGAGAGAAGCAAGTGACGTGACATACTTCCCGAGTAAGAATAATATATTATTTAACACTAAATTTTATATTACATTTTTATGCATAAAGGCCCGAGGCAATCACAAAAATTAAATGGTGTGATGAGGCAATCACAAAAATAAAATGGTGTGATGAGGCAATCACAAAAATGAAATCACAAAAAATATATCACAAACAAATTGTGGAGTCATGGGGAAATATAACTGGATTGGAATTTTCTTCCATTAAACAAGACTTTTTTGAGTCGAGAGGGACTACAAAAATAAATGACCTCTCCCAAAAGAAGAAGAAAAAGAAAACATTTCCTCAAAACGTTTCACAATTTCAATATTTTCATTATAATTTCCTATAGTCATGTACCTCTACACTTATAGGAATGGCAAAATATACTTTTCGGATTCAGTAAAGACGTGTCTACTTCAACTTGGCGTTAAAACTCCAGTAAAGAGAAGAAACTGCCAAGAATGGAGGGAACTGTTAATAAAACTAGGGATTCTAGATCCCGATGAGAAAGAAATTGCAGCAGCACAAAAATTTTGTAGAAAATATAGATATAACCTAAAGAAACCTGACAACGTAGGAGCAGTAGTATTAGTAGCAGTGTTGTCAATAGTAGTAATAAAAGTATCCATGACAGATCATGACAATATCCGTGTATGAACAGAAATTATTAATTATAATAGCGGCATTGCTCGTGATGCTCGGGTTGGTGCTCTACCCTGTGCTAAAATGGTATTATTTTTATTTTTACTATTTTTTTTCAATCTAATTTGCATATTCAAAATTGTTCAATGATTTTGACTTTTTCGACTTTT